AATATGAATATAACAATGAATATCTTATTATGATTTAAGTTTAACTTACAGTAACTTAACGCAATGGTAGACGCTTTGAGGATGTAGACGTTGATCGATGTCTTCTTTCGATGGAATAACTGATTGGAAAAAAATTTTTCATTATACAATACACATAGAATACATAATATGCACAGTAAATGAATCACAGTATAGAAATCACAGTAAATAAATCACAATAAATGAATCACAGTACATACAGAAGTTCTCGAACATCTGTAACATACAAGGGATTAGTAACAAGAGAGGGGACACAACAATATGCACAGTAAATAAATTGATGGTTGTCGAATGCCTGCAACAAACAATGGGTTAGTAACAAGAGAAAGGACGAGTATAAGACGCGCGCCCACCCTCCGCGACGGCTCACGAGAAAGTGAGGAAGCTAACCGCAGCTAACGCTGTGTCGCCGTTATGTATTGGGCGTACGCAGGTTTGTTCGTGTTGAATTGTTTTTGCCGGCTTGAACGACCTTCCTTGAACGACCCAAACACCGGATGGTACAGCCAGGTACGGCTATGGTACACGGCGTATGTGGCCGTCCGGGCCGGGGAGAGGTTGAAGTACCTCGGCCTCGACCTGGACGGCCGGTGGACGTGGGAGGGCCACTTCGGCCGCCTCGTCCCCCGGATCGAGGGCGTGACGACCCTACTGGGTCGTCTTTTGCCCAATCTCGGGAGTCCGGGGGAGGGAGTCCGCCGCCTGTACACGGGTGTGGTGCGGGCGATGGCGCTCTACGGGTCTCCCGTATGGGCGCCTAACCTGGCGACCTGCCGGCGCGGCTGGCAACTGCTGCGCAGTATCCAGCGCCGCATGGCCGTCAGGATCGCCCGCGGATACCGCACCCTGTCGCACGAGGCGGCGGTCGTCCTGGCGCGGGTCGTGCCGTTCGAACTCCAGGCGATGGTCCACGCGTAGGTCTATCGGCGTCAGCGGGCACACCGCCGGGAGGGCATCGACCCGCCGCCCGGGGCGGTCGAGGGGTGGAGGCGAGCCTTTGGTCGGCTCGCCAGGGAGGCGTGGCGGCGCCAGCTGGTGGTCAGCGGCGCCGCCCGGCAGCGGGCCGT